CATGTTTTAAACTCTGTTCAAACCTCGTCGTCTTTTTGTGTCGTGGCTCCTCCTCCTCTTCATCCTCCTCCTCTTCATCCTCCTCCTCTTCCTCGCTGCTTGTTTGTTCGAACCCCTCCCGTCTTATTTATCCCATTTTCCAGCTGCCTGTGCTGCAGTGAAAGAACTGGAGCTTTGTGCTTCGACCCATTAATCCTGTTGAACAGAAACGATCAGAGCTGAAAACACTTCAGACCTGATGAAGCTGCAGCTGCTGAAGGATAAATCAGATAAATCACTTTTCTAACAGGATCTCTGCTGTTTAAAGGTGTTTTTTTGTTTTGCATTAAAAGTTTTCCCTCTTTAACTGAATCTAAAATAACAAAGATGTGTTAAAGTTTCAGAGAACTCTTCTCTGGCTGAAGGAAAAGAGAAATTAGAGCATGAACTTAACATTTTAGGTTTTACTTGGTGAAAGATGGATTATTTGAAACCATATTAGAGCCTCTAAACGAGGCATCAACTTGACTTTATTTGATTCAGACTCCTCCTCCTGAGACAGACTCCGCCCCCACAGACCTGCAGGGCTCCTCCCACCTGTTCTTGGATGTTTATAACTGATTCATTTAATCTTAAATCCAGTTTAATTGTAACTGATCCTTTAGTCTCTTGAAGCCAGGAGGAAGATTGAAAAGATCAGAAGCTCCTGAGCGCCACCTGCTGACACAAACTGAAGTTTCTCAGAATATATTGACCTCTTTATAGATTCACTCATAACAAATCTTTATTTTTTCATCTTTTACTGTGTTTACTGTTGGATCATAAAGATTAAAACTTTGTTTTGATTCCAGAGGCCAATGTGAGCACGTCCATCCAGGTGGACTCTACTGCCAGAGGTTCTGCTGCAGCCTGGGCCGTCCTTCCTGTCTGTGAGTCCACCCTGGTTCCTCTTTAACCCTCTGCTCCTCTGCTGTCTGACCCTCTGCTCCTCTCCTCTGCTGTCTGACCCTCTGCTCCTCTGCTGCTGTCTGACCCCTCTGCTCCTCTGCTGTCTGACCCTCTGCTCCTCTGCTGCTGTCTGACCCCTCTGCTCCTCTGCTGTCTGACCCTCTGCTCCTCTGCTGTCTGACCCCTCTGCTCCTCTGCTGTCTGACCCTCTGCTCCTCTGCTGTCTGACCCCTCTGCTCCTCTGCTGTCTGACCCTCTGCTCCTCTGCTGTCTGACCCCTCTGCTCCTCTGCTGTCTGACCCTCTGCTCCTCTGCTGTCGTCTGACCCTCTGCTCCTCTGCTGTCTGACCCTCTGC